AGCTGCTGCTCGGCGCGTACGCCCGCGCCCTCGAAGTGATTCCGCGCCAGCTGTGCGACAACGCCGGCTTCGACGCTACAAACGTTCTCAACAAACTGCGGGCCAAGCACGCCCAGGTACGTGCGTGCGTGCGCTCCCCCCCTCTTTTGGTGTTACTCGCAGTCCTCATCGTTGGCTTTGCTCGGCCGTGTCTTGAGTGTGTGTGTTGTCTGCGTCTCCCAACTCTGTTACTCTTATCTCAGTGTCTCTCCGACTGTTGTCCCTGTGTCTGTGTGCGTGTCTCTGGGGAGCGGTTAGCGCGCCGCGCTATGAACCAGAGGTCGCAAACGGGTTTTGATTCCTTACCCGTACCCGTACCCGGCTGCACCAGGGTCGCAAACGGGTACCCGTACCCGATACCCGGCCGGGTACGGGTATCAGGTAGGGTACGTGTATCGGGTACCTGATTGCGACCTCTGGGATGAAGCCATGTTGCAGGCGCGGGTGGGTTGATTCTAGGAACTTGAATTGTGAGAAGAGACAAGACGTTGGGAAATGAGTGACAATCGGTGACTCACCAGTGACTCACGGTCTACCTGTACCCGGCCGCACCAGGTTCGCAAACGGGTACCCGTACCCGAGTAGGGTACGGGTATTGGGTACCCGATTGCGACCTCTGCTATGAACCTGGCGACCCGGGTTCGATTCCCGCTCATGGCCAACACCAGTGACGATTATCTGAACCGGTCCCGGGCCTCCCCTAGGTCGACTCAGCCTGAAATGAGTACCTGGTGCGGTGTGTAAACATCGCCACTGGGGAGACAAAGGCGGTCGGGCGTGGTGCTGGCCACCCACCCCCTCGTGTGCCGTTCCGGTCTTCATAGGTGCTCGCTAACAGCACTTGCCCCTACAGTCTGTTAAGGCTACACGGGGGATCTTTGTCTTTGAGTCTCTTATCTCGGTGTCTCTTTGGCTGTTGTCTCTTGGCTACGCACGGTGCGAAAGAAGTTCAACATACAAGTCTTTCCGCGTCATTAAAAAGCGCATGCGTTTTGTCATTTGCGTGATAACACAAACACTCGCGTGTAGTTCACGCCTCTTGTATCGCTTCCGAAAATAAAAATTGAATAATAAATAACCACGCGCACGCGTCTCTCCGCGACCCCCAGGGCGGGCTGTGGTTCGGAGTGGACGTGACGACGGAGGACGTCGCCGACAACATGCTGGCGTGCGTGTGGGAGCCGGCCGTCGTCAAGATCAACGCCCTGACGGCCGCGTCGGAGGCTGCGTGCCTCGTGCTGTCGGTGGACGAGACGATCCGGAACCCGCGCTCCTCGCAAGAGGGCGGCGGAGGAGGCGGAGGCGCCGGCCGTGGCCGCCCGCACGCGCACTGAGTTCACCGCGGCGGCGGTGGCGGTGGTTGATCGCCGGGCCCAGGTCGATGTGCTGAAGTAAGGGGGGGCAGCTCGACGTTTTGGGCGCACAGCAAAGGCGCGCGCATGCCCAGTATACCCACGTAGAAGTTCTAGCACACACACACACACCCGCGTCGTCCAATGGCTGTCCCACGCTTTCTCCGCGTAACCTGCTTAACGAGCGTCAAGAACTGTCGAGTCCTCGTGAAATCAATAAAGAAGTACTGTTTGTTTGAATCGTTGTCGAGCGTTGTTTCGTTCTTTGTTTATGCTTCTTTACGTGGTCTTGCCCGAAGCTAAAAGTCAGCCAGAATGCACCAAATATTGTTCGTTAATCCGCTTGTCCTGGTGAGGGTTGTGGCGGCAGCGTGTTGAGTAGTGGTGGTCCACACCTCTCTGGCGACAGACTCAGCACTACTACACTATACACTACTACACTATACACTACTACACTATATACTACTATACATTACTATTCACGACTACACTATACACTACTATACATTACTATACACTACACTATACACTACTACACTATACACTACTACACTATATACTACTATACATTACTATTCACGACTACACTATACATTACTATACACTACACTATACACTACTACCCTATACCCTACTATACATTACTATTCACGACTACACTATACATTACTATATACTACTACACACATACACTATACACTACTATACATTAATATACACTACTACACTACTATACATTAATATACACCACTATACACTACTACACTATACACTACTATACACTACTACACTATACACTATTATACATTAATATACACTACCCTATACACTACTACCCTATACACTACTATACATTACTATTCACAACTACACTATACATGACTGTACACTACTACACATACACTACAAGACTCTCGCTCTTGGGGAATTCCCAGGCCAGCCGAGCGACGTGGTCCCAACCAACGCGTCCTGGGCCGGCCCCAGGGGTCTTCGCCCAGTGTGGGATGTTCAACAGGGCAGGGAACAGCTCCTGCTCGCATCGGTGACCACAGGCTGTGTGTGGGACAGAACAACGGTATACAATCCACTTCTACGCCCTGCCCATTCGCCAAAACCCATTTTACGTCGGGGGATGCGTTCCTGAAAGGTTGCGACGTATATCGAAGCGATGTTCGGGGGGGGAAGGGGGGGTAGCAGTTGTGGTTAAGTGGTGGTGGCGAAGGCTGAGAGATGGGCGAGGGGAGGCGATTCAAATCGGGTGGCGATATCGGTAATAAGCATAACCCATAAAACAAAGTTTTTCACTATAAATCCTTTATATGCGTGGCGGCTAGAGTCTTCTCGTCCTCTGGCTTGAGATGGCTGCCACCTATGGGTCAGATGATTGCATTGCACCATTAAGCAATTGGTAATTAAATATAATATTTTTGTCCTAAACAGTGTAAAATTTTGGAGAAAAAAAATTCACGAACATTAATTGTCACGCACAACGAGTCTGTGTTGGAAAATGTCAGCTCGATTGGATCACGGGAAGTGGGTTAAAAAACGACCGAAAGATTTGCACGGTCCTAAGCAAGCAAGCAAGTGAACTTAATATAAAGGATTTAATAAAAGCGACGGGGTGTTTGCGAAACGACGAGCAATAGGGAGGGGGGAGGCGGAAATTCTGGGTGTAGAGTAAAGGGCCGTACCTAAATGACGTCACGCGATTTTGAACGATTTGTGACCGCCCCCCCCCCCCCCACATTCGTAACACGACGTCACAAAAAGTCAGACCCCCCCCCACCTTAAATATGACTTCACAAAGCTCTGCCCCCCCCCCTAGACGCTGTCGCCTCGACAGACCTGGTCTTCACCTGAGGACGGCTGCTTGTGTTGTGGCCGAAACGTCGTGAAAATTATTTTATTATTTTATTATTTCCCTTCTACGTGACTTTACCGAAAGAACCAAGAAGATGAATCCCTGCAGTCACGAAAGCTTTAAATCGAAATGTATTGTCATTGTAGTGCGTATTTAATGTGGCGCTGCACTCTGATGTCGTAGGAGAAAACATTTATTAAAAAGTCGATTTAATTAAGTAGAACGTGTTGTCTATATTTATTTAAAGTTGCGCATTTTGATGTGACGTCACATTCCTCACCCCCCCCCCCCTCGTCACACATCGTCACAAATGTCTGACTCCCCATCCCCCCCGCCCCTAGGTGCGTGACGTCATTTATGGACGCCCCCTTTGTCTCTGTGTGGCTTTGAGGCCTTGGCCAGTGGTCTCAGTGGCACCACTCCTACTCCCTGGAAGGACAATCCTCCACTCTGCCCACTCGTGGCTCCTCCTCCTTGTGGCTCCTCCTCCTTGTGGCTCCTCCCCCTTGCTCTTCGTGGCTCCTCTTCGCTCCTGCTCGTGGCTCCCCCTTGTGGTTCCTCCCCCTAGCTCTTCGTGGCTCCTCCTCTACGTGGCTCCTCCTCTTTGCTTGTGGCTCCTCCCTCCTTGTGGCTCTTCGTTCCTCATCGGTGGCTCCTCCTCCTGCTTGTGGCTCCTCCCTCCTTGTGGCTCTTCGTTCCTCATCGGTGGCTCCTCCTCCACGTGGCTCCTCCTCCTTGTGGCTCCTCCTCCTCCACGTGGCTCCTCCTCCTCGCTCTTCATGGCTCCTCCTCCTCGTGGCTCCTCCTCCCTCTTCGTGGCTCCTCCTCCTCCCTCTTCGTGGCTCCTCCTCCCTCTTCGTGGCTCCTCCTCCCTCTTCGTGGCTCCTCCTCCTCGTGGCTCCTCCTCCCTCTTCGTGGCTCCTCCTCCCTCCTCCTCGTGGCTCCTCCTCTTCGTGGCTCCTCCTCCCTCCTCCTCGTGGCTCCTCCTCCCTCTTCGTGGCTCCTCCTCCCTCTTCGTGGCTCCTCCTCCCTCTTCGTGGCTCCTCCTCCCTCCTGCTCGTGGCTCCTCCTCCCTCCTCTTCGTGGCTCCTCCTCCCTCCTCTTCGTGGCTCCTCCTCCCTCTTCGTGGCTCCTCCTCCCTCTTCGTGGCTCCTCCTCCCTCTTCGTGGCTCCTCCTCCCTCTTCGTGGCTCCTCCTCCCTCCTCTTCGTGGCTCCTCCTCCTCGTGGCTCCTCCTCCCTCTTCGTGGCTCCTCCTTCCTCCTCTTCGTGGCTCCTCCTCCCTCTTCGTGGCTCCTCCTCCCTCTTCGTGGCTCCTCCTCCCTCTTCGTGGCTCCTCCTCCCTCTTCGTGGCTCCTCCTTCCTCCTCTTCGTGGCTCCCCCTCCCTCTTCGTGGCTCCTCCTCCCTCCTCTTCGTGGCTCCTCCTTTTCGTGGCTCCTCCTCCCTCTTCGTGGCTCCTCCTTCCTCCTCTTCGTGGCTCCTCCTCCCTCTTCGTGGCTCCTCCTCCCTCTTCGTGGCTCCTCCTTCCTCCCTCGTGGTTCCGACTCGTTCGATCGCGTGGGGACCCCGGCCTCTCCACATCCCAGGGTCTCTCCTCTCTACATCCCAGGGCAACCCAGCCCCCCACCACCACCACCCAGCCCCCCACCACCACCACCCAGCCCCCCACCACCACCACCCAGCCCCCCACCACCACCGCCCCCCAACCCCCCAGCCCCCCAGCCCCCCACCACCACCACCCAGCCCCCCACCACCAACCCCCCAGCCCACCACCACCACCGCCCCCCCATGCTGCGCCAGCTGGGGTCTCTGGTCCCGCGGCTGCTGCGGGGCCGCGGGTTCCTGGTGGCGAACACTGCGAGCTGCGGGGCTCTGATGGCCACGGGAGACGCGGTGCAGCAGTGGAGGGAGACGCGCGCAGGGAGACGCGAGCGCAGGGACTGGGTGCGAACCGGTGAGACGCGTGGGGTGTTCGTGTGGGGGGACATGTGGGGACACAGTGGGACACGTGGGGGGACATAGGGGGACACAGTGGGACACAGTGGGACACGTGGGGACAAGGTGGGGGCACGGTGAGACACAGTGGGACACGGTGGGGACACGGTGGGGACACAGTGGGGACACGGTGAGACACAGTGGGGCATGTGGGGGGACACGGTGGGGACACGGTGAGACATAGGGGGGGACACGTGGGACACAGACAGGGGGTGACGCAGGGGTTCACTGGGGACACGTGCACTTGGAATCTACCAGTAAGACACGGGGCGGGGGGACACGGGGACACATTGTGTGACACAGCGTGAGACACATTGTTGAGACACATTGCTGAGACACATTGTGAGACACACAGGGACATTGTGAGACACAGTGAGACGCACAGTGTGACAGCGTGACACATGGTGAGACACATTGTGTGAGACGGACATTGTGTGACACACAGGATGACACAAGGGGACATTGTGTGACACAGTGAGACACAGTGTGACACATTGTTGAGACACACCGTGAGACACATTGTGAGACACACGGGGACACTGTGAGACACATTGTGTGACACATTGTTGAGACACATCGTGAGACACATTGTGTGACACACAGGGTGACACACGGGGACATTGTGTGACACAGTGAGACACACACTGTGACACAGTGAGACACACATTGTGTGACATCGTGAGACACATTGTGAGACACACACAGTGAGACACATTGTGAGACACACTGTGTGACACATCGTGAGACACACAGTGAGACACATTGTGAGACACATTGTGAGACACACACTGTGTGACACATCGTGAGACACACAGTGAGACACATTGTGAGACACAGTGAGACACACACAGTGTGACACACACAGTGTGACACAGTGAGACACACACTGTATGACACATTGTGAGACACAGTGAGACACACACTGTGTGACACATCGTGAGACACACAGTGAGACACATTGTGAGACACAGAGAGACACACACTGTGTGACACATTGTGAGACACAGTGAGACACACACTGTGTGACACATTGTGAGACACACAGTGAGACACATTGTGAGACACAGAGAGACACACACTGTGTGACACATTGTGAGACACAGTGAGACACACACTGTGTGACACATTGTGAGACACACAGTGAGACACATTGTGAGACACAGAGAGACACACACTGTGTGACACATTGTGAGACACAGTGAGACACACACTGTGTGACACATTGTGAGACACACAGTGAGACACATTGTGAGACACAGAGAGACACACACAGTGTGACACATTGTGAGACACAGTGAGACACACACTGTGTGACACATTGTGAGACACACAGTGAGACACATTGTGAGACACAGAGAGACACACACTGTGTGACACATCGTGAGACACAGAGAGACACACGGGGACATTGTGAGACACGTGGGGACACGGACAGCCACCACGTGGTTGTGAGTGACCTCTGACTGAAGGGTTACATCACAACTCCGGGGTTTAATGTCTGGAGGGCGGAGCTGATGCACATTCTGCAGTTTAACACGCAGCAGCAGCAGCAGTAGGCTACCGCCACCAATATCATCCATAAGAGAGGTTTTTTGGGGTTAGATCGCATAAGTATATAAATGTGTCGTCAAACCCGCCACCACCCGACGCAGCCAACTAGTAAGGGTTGTCACGTGAACAACGTGGCCAATTCGTCACTAGTACAGCACTATTGTATAGTGTAGTGTGTAGTGTAGTGTGTAGTGTAGTGTATAGTGTAGTGTATAGTGTAGTGCAGTGTATAGTGTAGTATACTAGTACAGCACTAGTGTATAGTCTAGTGTGTAGTGTAGTGTATAGTGTAGTGTGTAGTGTAGTGTATAGTGTAGTGCAGTGTATAGTGTAGTTTATAGTGTAGTTTATAGTGTAGTGTGTAGTGTAGTGTATAGTGTAGTGTGTAGTGTAGTGTATAGTGTGTAGTGTAGTGTAGTGTGTAGTGTAGTGCAGTGTATAGTGTAGTTTATAGTGTAGTTTATAGTGTAGTGTGTAGTATATAGTGCAGTGTATAGTGCAGTGTATAGTGTAGTGTATAGTGCAGTATACTAGTACAACACAAACCGGTGTACTCCGATGATAAATGTTATTTTGCTGTGCCTTTTTACACCTGATGAAGGAAGCTTGTGTTGCCTCCGAAACGTCGTGATTTAATTGATTTATTTTCATTAATTTTTTTATTTTTACCTACGTGACTTTACCTGAAATAACCTAAGAGTATAGCTTTGTTGACGCTTTTCGTGTGTGGTCAAGTTTAGCATCAGCGTGGCTGTAACAATTTTTCCCGCTGTCGCTCCGAGACAACTTGACGCGGCGTCCATCACACGTACGTCCCCCCACAACCTCGTCCGGGACGGTGGCGCCTGTTCCCCCGCGTCACAACGCGTTTGCCTCGGTAAAGAAAAACAAAAAGTGGCTTGGCTCCGGCGATACGCAATCTGCACGATGAGCTAGCACCCACCGCTCCCGCCCCGCGCCCACCAGAACGTCGCTCCATTTGTCGCTGTCAGCATCGAACAAAAGTTTGTCATAGTCGTCGTCGGTGGTGGTGACCGCCGATCGGGAGGCCCGGAGGTAGCTGCTTAAAATCCAGCCGCAAAAAAATCTCCGCGGCTGCCCGACGCCGCGGACGCCCCCTGCCCCTTCTTCTCTCACGCCACTTCATCCGCCCCTGCCCTGTGCGTGTGTCCGTGCGTGTGCACCTTGTGCCCCCCCCCTCCCCCTCCACCGGCGCAGCGCGCATGTTCTCCGTGGGCATCGTGATGGGACCCATCCTCCACCTGTGGTACGTCTACCTCGACAAGTTCCTGCCGGAGAGGACGAGGAAAGTGGTCGCCAAGAAGATCCTCGCCGACCAGCTCATCGCCTCGCCGCCGTTAGCGGCTCTCTTCTTTTTCGGTGGGTTTGACGCGCCGCGGGAATGCCGACGGGCGCTGACCGGCGAGCGTTGACCGGCGAGCGTTGACCGGCGAGCGTTGACCTGTAAACAAAACGCCTCTGAGGCCGGTTGCTAGTCGCGAGGGCGGTCTTGCCAGTGGCCCAGCTTGTGCAAAAAGACCCCCCCTGGATTTGATCTTCCACGGAGGTCATGGTCCCACCCGAATGCGCATCCGCTGAACAAACCGTGGGAGTAAATCCGGATACCTGATGCACAAATATGGCGGGAAAAAAGTCCGATCGTGGTGCGACTGTGGTCATCCAGAACACAACGTGGAACGAAGCAAATTGCTCCGGATCCACAAATACGAAGACATCACGGCGATGCTGCATTAAACCACTGCTCCTGATGCGGTTATCTTAGCTTGACCACTCGAATGTGAATTTGTAGTTTGTTCATAAGAGGTTTTTTTTGGGTTAAGTATTTAAATGTGTCGTTAAAACCCGCCACCACCCGACACAGCCAATTAGTAAGGGGTCGTCACGTAAACAGAACGTGGCCAATTCGTCACTAGTACAGCACACCGGTGTGTTGGCTGTGTCCGGTGGTGGCGGGTTTTACCGACACATTTATATATTTACGCGATCTAACCCAAAAAAAACCTCTTATGGATGATATTGGTCGCGAAAGCCTCCTACTACGCGTTGTCGTCTGTTGCTCACGTCGCTGCTTGTAGTACGGCTGCTGATGTAGACGCAGAGCGACGACCACAATCTCACATTCAGGTAGTAAAGCCCAGGCAACCGCGTCAGGATCAAGCAGGGAGTCGTGTGTATCATCATCGCTGCGATGTCTCGTTCGTATTTGTGGGATGTTGTGCGGTCTTATTCTGGATGACAACAGTCGCACGCTACTGGAGAGTTTAAAATGTTCCACATTTGTGCATACGGTTGGTGGATCACCGCACGTGTTGCCAAACTTTCCTTCCCATGGGCATCGAGGTGACAAATGTGCGAGTGACCCGCGCCTCTAACACCAAGCTCGTCGTTCCTATCAAACCGGGACATGTCAGTTTAACGCGAAGGCTAAACATCTGGTTGTTGCCTGATAATGCCGGTTGTAATTACTGGCTAAACGTCGTACTCTGATTGTAAATGTTGTGGCTTTGCTCTCCAACACACCTGTGTGCTGTACTAGAATCGAATTGGCACGTTCTGTTTCCGTGACACATTACTAACTGGCTGTGTCGGGTGGTGGCGGTTTTAACGACACATATTTACGCGATCTTACCCAAAATAACTATATTACGGGTTATGTCACCGATCAAAAAGCCAGTCTGCTAAACGAGATGTCCCTGAAGTTCTACGCAATCCCGCAGCATCGGATATTAATCACAAATCAACTCAACACGTCCGTCAATAACACTGTGGCCTTAGGAGTAAAAATGTAGAATAGGCAACGTTTCGGGCGATAGCCCTTCTTCATAGCACACCAGAGAGCCTTTGCCCTGAATGATGCCTATTACTTATTTTTGTTCTTTTAAGGCCACACGCGAAATAGCCCCACACAAATGGTGGCGAGATCCATTATAGAGGTTTTTGGGTTAGATCGCGTAAATACAAACGTGTCGTGAAACCCGCCACCACCCGACGCAGCCAATCGGTAAGCTTTGTCACGTAAACAGAGTATGCCAATTCCTTACTAGCACAGCACGCCGGTGTGTTGGAGAGTAAACCCACAACATTTACAATTCAATTACCGTGACGTTTCGCCAGTAATTGCAACAAGCCTCGTCAGGCAACAGCCAGAGCTGTAGAGATATTATCCTCTTCTTGGTTCTTTCGGTAAAGTCACGTAGAAGGGAAATAATAAAATAATAAAAATAAAACATTATAAAATCATTCTCACGACGTTTCGACCAGGTCTGTCGGGGAGACAGCGTCTGACGCTGTCTCCCCGACAGACCTGGTCTTCACCTGAGGACGGCTGCTTGCGTTGTGGCCTAAACGTCGTGAGAATTATTTTATTATGTTTTATTTTTATTATTTTATTATTTCCCTTCTACGTGACTTTACCGAAAGAACCAAGAAGATGAATCCCTGCAGTCACGAAAGCTTTAAATCGAAAAATAAAAGATATTCTCCTGTTTTGGCGAGATGTTAACTACCTCGCCCAGTGTGCAGGAGGTCGTGGGTTTGATCCCGACCCTGTGACTCCTGCTGTGCATTTGGAGTTTGCGGTGTCTCCTTCTCTCCCCATAGTCGCGTGGATTTTTCTCCGGGTCCTCCGGTATTTCCCTCCACATTTCAAACCAACAGCAAACGCTTCGGAGCATTTGGCTGCTATAACTTTCCACGCGATGCCAAGCCACTTGGGTTGAGCCATCATTTCCGATGACCAGGTCGCTTCTGAATAAGTAGTATTTTTTAAACTTTTTTTAAAACACGCTTTAATGAAATGTACCATACTAGTAATGTAAGAACTCCACGACTCCAGGAAGTGTCCCCGAAGCTTGCCATAACGCAAGAGGCCGTGGTGATTTACAGCCAACGTCAGTTGAGCGTGGACAATTAGACCCAAGCCGAAACATAACATATAAAAAAGATCGTTTAAAAATATATATTTTTTATTTTTAATGATATAATGTAGTATTGTCATCAGTATGACATTAGTATACCAAGTTTGCTGTGGGTTAAAATTGAATTACAAGATTTGAGGATACAACAACAACAACAACAGACAGAGTGAGTTAAATAAAAGCGTGTAAAAAGAGCTTTTACAGCTCCATGCGGCTCCTCACCTGGTAAAATAAAAAGGAGAGTCATTTTATCGTTCTCGCGTTTGCCCCAAAGCACCGTCATCACCACCAAATCACGAGTTTGATTTCTACCTAAGTGACTTTACCCAAAGAACCAAAGAGTATGGATTCCTGCAGTCACGAAAGCTTCAATTCGAGATTGAGTTTGATTCCGTAGTGTCAGCCAGGTGAAGTCTGTCAGCCATGCAAAACAGATTTAACTACACATATTTGGAGCATTCCTGGCAGCGATTTCAGCTGCAACACCTCTACATAACAAAAGGCTCAGTCAACCATTCTACACAACAAAGACTGATTTCCTGGCAGCGATTTCAGCCGCATCACCTCTACATAACAAAAAGGCTCAGTCCCATTTACACGCACCTTTACATCAGCCGCACCTAGTTTACAAAACAAAGGCTCATTCCTAACAGCGTGCTTCAGCCGCTGCGAACCTCACAAAAATAATATCCAGGGCCTACCTTGGCTCCTCCCACCCTCAACCAGTATATATACAAGGACTGTTTTCTTGGAATTTCTCTCACTTGATACAGCCATCGTGCTGTGACGGTTCCACCTGAAGACGGAAGCTTGTGTTGCCTCCGAAACGTCGTGATTTTTATTTTACTTTTATTAATTTACATTTTTCACCTACGTGACTTTTTTCCGAAAAAACTTAAGAATATGAATCCTGAAGGGAGACTTCCCGATGTTCAAATTCTATCCCTCCGCCGTCCCCGCGTGCAGGAATGGGAGCTCTGGAGGGCCAGAGCGTTAAACATTCCGCCCACGAGTTCGCAGACAAGTTTTGGGAGATGTATATGGTGAGTATTGGGTTCGTAAATCAGAGCCCCACCCCCACCGCCCTCACACGCCGCGCTTTCTACGTGAATGTGTTCCACTAAAGGCAACGGCAATAGGTGCCACGGTGGTGAGATGTTAACTACCTCGCCTGGTGTACAGGAGGTCGTGGGTTCGATCCTGACCCTGACGCCTGCCGCTGTATATGTGGAGTTTGCGGTGTCTCTCTCTCATCATCATCACGGTGGCTAGGAGATGTTAACTACCTCGCCTGGTATACAGGAGGTCGTGGGTTCGATCCTGACCCTGACGCCTGCTGTATATTTGGAGTTTGCGGTGTCTCTCTCTCTCCCCGTGGTCGCGTGGATTTTTCTCCGCATCCTCCCATAGACTCACACAGAGACCCATAGAACTCACGCAGAGACCCCCCATAGACTCGTACAGAGAGACTCATAGACTCACACAAAGATCCATAGACTCACACAGAGGCCCATAGACTCACACAGACGCCCATAGACTCACACAGAGACCCATAGACTCACACAGAGACCCATAGACTACACAGAGACCTATAGACTCACACAGAGACCCATAGACTCACACAGAGATCCATAGAACTCACACAGAGATCCATAGACTCACACAGAGACCCATAGAACTCACACAGAGACCCATAGACTCACACAGAGACCCATAGACTCACACAGAGACCCATAGAACTCACACAGAGACCCATAGACTCACACAGAGACCCATAGAACTCATCGTGAGTCCATGGGTCTCCGTGTCAATCTATGTATGTACGATGTTGAACTTCTTTCGCACCGTACGTAGCTAACCTCGCTAATCAGAGTTTGCCGGGATGAAGAACAAACAAACAAACTAAAACACACAAACAACAGCTCTAAATAAATGAGCTGCATCCCGAATCCAACGCAGCTCAGCGAGCACTCGACGGACACGGTCGGATCTCGCAGGGCCCCGTCGCGACGCGTGCCGGTAGAGACTTTTGCGCCCGTAGTTTGGTGATTGTTTTTTTTATTGTATTTTTGTTGTTTTTTTTTTGCCAGATGGATTGGACCATCTGGCCCGCGGCGCAAGCGGTCAACTTCTTTTACGTCCCGTCGTCCTATCGGGTCATCTACGTGAACGTGATCACCCTGGGATGGGACACATTCCTTTCCTACCTCAAGCACCGGGTGAGGGTTGCTGCTGCTGATGCTGGTGGTGGTGGCGGTGTCACAGTTGGCAAAGTTGAAGGGGCGGCACAGCTGGGTGCATCTGCCAGTCATCTCAGTCGGTCAACCCCCATGGCACCAGCTGGGGGTCTGTCCCGTAGACCTCCAGTCGGTGCCGAATCATCAACACTGTCACGTGATAGCATGCCTGTCAAGCCCTTATCAGTGCCTACCTTCTTACAGACCAATTCACATGCCTGTCAACCTCTTATCAGAGCCCTCTATTTTATTAAAGACCTATTCACATACCTGTCAATCCCTTATCAGTGCCCTACCTTTCGATTTAAAGCTTTCGTGACTGCAGGGATTCATCTTCTTGGTTCTTTTGGTAAAGTCACGTAGAAGGGAAATAATAAAGTAATAAAATAATAAAAAATTTATTTTATTTATATTATTGCTATATTATTATTTTATGATTATTTTATTATGTTTTATTTTTATTATTTTATTATTGTATTACTTCCCTTCTACGTGACTTTACCGAAAGAACCAGGAAGATGAATCCCTGCAGTCACGAAAGCTTTAAATCGAAAGGTAGGGCACTGATAAGGGATGACAGGTATGTGAATAGGTATTTAATTCAGACCGTATTGGTCACCCCGTGCTCCCTTATAAATCTCAACGTTCATCCTACAAAGTTCCATCACAAGGGAGAAACACAAACAAAGAGACACAAATAAATCCCGTGTTGAAACGGCTGTAACGCCGTATGGACCTGAAAACTAAATCTCCCTGAAAAAGCATACGGGGTAAGCCGTGTGGGTTGACAGGTACGCGATGGCCTCAAAAGTGCACCTGGCCTGGCACAGGCGCCGTGGTGACGTCACCGTCACCTAGTGGCGAATGGCGGCTGTGTTGGTATTGGCAGCAGTCAGAGGCGTAGAACTCATCTTGTTTATCTTGGGCTTGTCAGGCTAAATGGTACCATATATATATAAATCCGAAAAACATAACAAGACGTGGATTCTTGAGTGTTTCAACATTTCTTGTGCTAATGTCAGTTTTTTGTTATATTTTAATACTGTACGGTATAGAATTGCAATTTAAATATACATTGTCTGTTTACAATACACATGAATGGTAAGTTACGAAGGCTGGGAACGCATCTTGGCGGCACCAACGTTACGAGCCACTCGACGTGCGACGTTTCGATCTGTACCTCTGTATCGAGGTAGCTTCTTTCGTACAGCAATATAACCCGTAAAAACAAAGTTTTTCACTATAAATCCTTTATATGCGTGGCGGCTAGAGTCCTCTCGTCCTCTGGCTTGAGATGGCTGCCACCTATGGGTCAGATGATTGCATTGCACCATTAAGAAATTGATAATTAAATATAATATGTTTGTCCTAAAAAGTGTAAAATTTTGGAAGAAAATTTTCACGAACATTAATTGTCACGCACAACGAGTCTGTGTGCAAAATGTCAGCTCGATTGGATCACGGGAAGTGGGTTAAAAACGACCGAAAGATTTGCACGGTCGTAAGCAAGCAAGCAAACTTAATATAAAGGATTTTAAAAAGAAAAACCGAGAGGAGAGCGCGAAAGCGACGTCCACGCTACGACATCCACGGGAGACCGAGCAAGGCGGGGGTGGGGCGGGCGGGGGGGGCCCACGTTGGCAAGGCGCCACCGAGGAGAGCGTGAGGCTCTCGCTGACCCCTTGACCTGTTGACCTCTGCAGGACGACAAGACGGACGCGGGCGGAGCGCCGGCCGAGCGAGACGTCGGCGAGCGGAGGGAGGCCGCCTCTGCCGCGTGCGCAGCGACCGAGCTGTGCGTGGAGAGGCCGCCCCTTGCCGAGGCGGCCATGCCGAGCTTGAAGCGGGAGGTTTAGTCGTCGCTGGGGGGGGCGGCGGGGGGTGGTGCAAAATCGCCCATCGGCCCGTATATGGAAGGGAAGTGGGCGTGTAGTTGTCCGTAGGGGCGTTTCTCTGCCCGTTTCGTGGCCTTGCGGATCGTGAATCGAGGCGTCCGTTGTATCGATTCCGCTCGCGGTCAATCCGCCCCCCTGTTGGCGTTTCGATCCGTTGGAGGGTTAATCGCCGCGTCGAATAATTCTCAAGCGAGCCACGGATGCAGTAATCCCATTGGTTGGTGCAGCGTCGTGCGGAGTGCTCCACTCTTTTTGTCGATTGGCCAAATATCTCTCTGCATTCCGTTTTTTTATCGCACACGACGGCGTGCTTAGGAGGAGAGGCGCTCCAACGAAAACCGGCATCTTCCCCGGATCGTTCGCCTTAATGTCGCATTCGTGTCAAAAGAACGATTATATGATGTGGCTTTTAATTTTTTTTATCTTTTCTTCATTCGAAAGCGAAACTTGAGATGAGAAAAATATATTTGGGGATTTGATTTTTTTTTTGTATTTGCACGCCACTCTTCAGGAATGTAGATATATATATTAATTTATGTGTACCGAACGGAGACTGCAAAGGATAACAATACGATTGTTATATTTTAAAGACACGAAAAAAGAACTATCAACGGAGAGGTTTCAAAATAAACCACCCCTGGAACCATCCGTCACGCCCGAGTCAATTCTAGAACGTTACAGTGCCAACGCTACAGTGTTTACCGTACAGAACATTTCTACAGTGCGCCATGTTGCGGGCGGGATGTTAACTCCCTCGCCTGGTATGCACGAGGTCGTGAGTTCGAGCCCCGACCCTCACGATGTCTGCGTATTTGGAGTTTGCAACGTTCTTACCGTGATCGTGTGGATTTTTGTCGGGGGCCCCTCCGTTTTTTTTTTTTTTTTTTACCCTCTGCATTCAGAATCAGACGCGCATTTCGAGCTATTTTGCCTGCTGCTGTGAGTTCCCGCGCGATAAGCCCACTTCGTTGAGCTATCATTTGTGGCCAGGTCGCTTCTGAAACACGAGCTACAGAGCTCACGTGGGAAAATCGTGAGTCGCCGTGCGGGTGGTGGCTATGCCCACGAGGCTGCCCCTCTGATATTCTTAGGTTTTTTCGGTAAAGTCACGTAGGTAAAACATTAAAATTAATAAAAGTAAAATAAAATAAAAATCACGACGTTTCGGAGGCAACACAAGCTTCCGTCTTCAGGTGAAACCGTCACAGCCACGACAGCTGATACAGCTGTCGTGGCTGTGAATCCATGCAGTCACGAAAGCTTCAAATCTAGAATTAATGCCCCTCTGATCTTTTGGAGGCAGCAGCCAGGGTTGGTGAATTGCACGCAGAGAATGTTGCGAAAATCCCCGACTGCGCAGACGTCGGGGGAGACAGCGGGGGGCAAGGTCAATCGTTGACTCCACCGTGTGACGGTGTTTTCTCGTCTTAGCGTCGTGCGGCGGGGCTCTCTTCCCAGGTGCTCCGGTTTCTTGTCAACGCACGAACACTCAAAGTAAATACTTAATTTGGAGCTTTCGTGACTGCAGGAATTACTCTTTGGTTCTTTCGGTAAAGTCAAGTATAAAGAGAAAATAATAAATTAAATACTAGCATACGACGTTTCGATTGCAACGCAAGCAATCGTCATCAGGTATAAATGAAATAGAAACACAAATCTAGTATACTTAGAAATGTACTGTAATACAACAGAGAGTCGGATAACATAACAGTCAACACCCTACCTGGTTGATTACGTTCTTCCTGAGAATGCTAAATTTGAGAGATAAAACACAGAACCAGAGACATATAGACAGACATATAAGTAGAGACAGGTATCACAGAGATACATAGAGAGACGTAAATAGGCACACAGAGAAACCACGCCTCTGTATCGAGGCCTTAAATAGAGAGAGGGGCGGGGGCGGAGAGAGAGGGAGGGGTTAGAGAAATTAGCATGTCAATGAGTGGCATGCTCAAAGTAAAGGTGAAGGGGGGGCGGGGGGTTTTGTGTGTTGGGGTGAGATCGCGTGAATATTAACGTGCCGTTAACCCACCGCCGCCCCCGACACAGCCAATTGGTGAGGTTCGTCACCGCAAACGACACATCATGGGACCTCCGTTGCAAGTATCGAAGTATAAGAATAGGCTTTTACTCTATCTGGCAATAAAACAGTTGTGTTAAGATGTTAAAATACAAAACGGTGCATGATTCCTTGCAAAAGGTTTCTGCCTGGTGTTTTAACTTTTTAACGCAACTGTTTTATTTCCATAAAGGGTAAAACCTATTCTTAGACATTTTTTGATTGCCCGTTCAGACCGAAAGTTGTAATTTCAATCGCCGTGCAATAGATGGCGGTGGTGGCATCTACATCTGCAGAACGTGAAGAACCAGTGGCATCTACATCTGCAGAACGCGAAGAACCAGTGGCATCTATATCTGCAGAACGCGAAGAACCAGTGGCATCTACATCTGCAGAACGTGAAGAACCAGTGGTATCTACTTCTGCAGAACGCGAAGAACCAGTGGCATCTACATATGCAGGACGTGAAGAACCAGTGACATCTACATCTGCAGAACGCGAAGAACCAGTGGTATCTACATCTGCAGAACGCGAAGAACCAGTGGCATCTACATCTGCAGAACGCGAAGAACCAGTGGCATCTACATCTGCAGAACGTGAAGAACCAGTGGTATCTACATCTGCAGAACGCGAAGAACCAGTGGCATCTACATCTGCAGAACGCGAAGAACCAGTGGTATCTACATCTGCAGAACGCGAAGACCCAGTGGCATCTACATCTGCAGAACGCGAAGAACCAGTGGCATCTACATCTGCAGAACGTGAAGAACCAGTGGCATCTACATCTGCAGAACGCGAAGAACCAGTGGTATCTACATCTGCAGAACGCGAAGACCCAGTGGTATCTACATCTGCAGAACGCGAAGACCCAGTGGCATCTACATCTGCAGAACGCGAAGAACCAGTGGCATCTACATCTGCAGAACGCGAAGAACCAGTGGCATCTACATCTGCAGAACGCGAAGAACCAGTGGCATCTACATCTGCAGAACGTGAAGAACCAGTGGTATCTACATCTGCAGAACGCGAAGAACCAGTGGCATCTACATCTGCAGAACGTGAAGAACCAGTGGTATCTACATCTGCAGAACGCGAAGAACCAGTGGCATCTACATCTGCAGAACGCGAAGAACCAGTGGTATCTACATCTGCAGAACGCGAAGAACCAGTGGCATCTACATCTGCAGAACGTGAAGAACCAGTGACATCTACATGAGATTATACAACATTTAAAGCCATTCCCTGTGTTTAGTTCACACGCCGTACAAAGTTTGGAATCAACAGGAGTGAAGTTGAACTTGCGAACAATTCGACTTACGAACAGTACCTCTTGAGTCTAACTCGTTCGTAAGTAGATTGTTTATCCGTTTCAAAACGGCTTCTCGATGTCGTTGAACGCACAGTGGTGGTGGCCACAGTTGTAATGCCGCTGTTACCCCAGAGGGAACGTATTGTTAGAATTCATTCATGAGAATTCATTTGGTCGAGTGGCATCTGTGACACACGAGGTAACGCCACGCCATAGCCCATCAATAAACTTCGCTCCAAAGACAAAGATCCCCCCTATAGCCTTGAACAGATTTGGGGCAAGTGCTGTTAGCGAGCACCTATGAAGGTCGGAACGGTACACGAGGGGTGGGTGGCCAGCACCACGCCCGGTCGCCTTTGTCTCTCCAGTGGCGATGTTTACACACCGCACCAGGTACTCATTTGAGGTCGAGTCGACCTAGGAGAGGCCCAGGACCGCTTCAGATAATCGTCATCGGTGTTGGCCGTGAGCGAGAATCGAACCCGTGTCGCCGGGTTCACAGCGCAGCGCGCTAACCGCTGCACCACCGCTCCCCGCAACGGGTCATGTCACCACCACCGCAGGTGCTCATCAAGTCGCTTGTGGTGTGGTGAAGTGTGGGTAACTCCGAGATGTGTGGCCCACGTGGAAGAGTAGGCCAAGGAGATCGTGGTGACGGCAGCGTGCCACGCGCCGGGACACTATACACTACACTACTATACACTACACTATACACTACACTACTATACACTACACTATACACTACACTACTATACACTACACTATACACTACACTATACACTACACTACTATACACTACACTATACACTACACTATACACTACACTACTATATACTATACACTACACTACTATACACTATACACTACACGACTATACACTACACTACTATACACTTACACTATACACTACACCAGTGGTCGTTAACCCGGGTTGCGAGACACGGCAAGATTGTTTATTTAGAAGGCAAATAATCGAAAACACAAATTAAGCACGCGACCAATATCATCCATCATAGAGTTTCTTTTTTGGGGGGGGGGGGGGGGGAATTAGAGTCGCGTAAACACAAATGTTGTGTCGTGACATTTCGATTTAAAGCTTTCGTGACTGCAGGGATTCATCTTCTTGGTTCATTCGGTAAAGTCACGTAGTAATGGAAATTATAAAATAATAAAATAAAACATTATAAAATAATTCTCACGACGTTTCGGCCACAACGCAAGCAGACCTGTTCTTCACCTGAGGACGGCTGCTTGCGTTGTGGCCGAAACGTCGTGATTTTTTATTTTATTTTACTTTTATTAATTTTAATGTTTTACCTACGTGACTTTACCGAAAAAACCTAAGAATATGAATCCTTGCAGTCACGAAAGCTTCAAATCTAGAATTATTATTTTCATTCTACGTGACTTTACCGAAAGAACCAAGAAAACGGTAGTGTGGTCAGTGTCGCGTGTACATAACGTGGCCCCGAATCGCACGACGTTTTGCCGGCCGTCATTTACAACCGGCATCATCAGGCGGGGAGCAAGTCGGTTTTGTTCGTGAAGCGGTGAGTGGCACCCACGTGGCCACCCCCCCCCCCCCCCACGTGACCCGCCCCCCCCCCACGTGGCCCGCCCCCCCCCCACGTGGCCCCGCCTTCCCCCCACGTGGCCCGCCCCCCCCACGTGGCCCGCCCCCCACGTGGCCCGCCCCCCCCACGTGGCCCGCCCCCCCCCACGTGGCCCGCCCCCCCCACGTGGCCCGCCCCCCCCCACGTGGCCCGCCCCCCCCCACGTGGCCCGCCCCCCCCACGTGGCCCGCCCCCCCCACGTGGCCCGCCCCCCACGTGGCCCGCCCCCCCCACGTGGCCCGCCCCCCCCACGTGGCCCCCCCCCCCCCACGTGGCCCGCCCCCCCCACGTGGCCCGCCCCCCCCACGTGGCCCGCCCCCCCCCACGTGGCCCGCCCCCCCCACGTGGCCCGCCCCCCCCCCACGTGGCCCCTCCTACCACGTGGTCCCTGCGAGCTGAACGCCGCTTTGCCGCGGTCCCTTAGTGCGGAATCGGCCGCTGCGAACTCTGAGAGGTGAGAGACACGTGTTGTCTCACTGCGTGTACTGTCTATACAGTGTGTGTACTGTCTGTACAGTGTGTGTGTACTGTCTGTATTGTGTGTGTACTGTCTATAATACTGTGTGTGTACTGTCTACACAGTGTGTGTACTGTCTATACAGTGTGTGTACTGTCTGTATTGTGTGTGTACTGTCTATAATACTGTGTGTGTACTGTCTGTATT